ACATAAAGTAGATATTAATATTTGCAAGCAGAAAAATGTAATTTATTTTTCAAGAATATTATATTTTAAGCTCCTTAGTATGCAACCTGTTGAATTATTGAGGATTATATAAATCATGGCTTATATTTTGTTTTATTGTTTACTACAAATTTAATATGACGATGTAACATGAGTACTGTGGCAATAATATGGTACTTTTTATGATGTGATATAAATTTGAATTGACACACGACAACCTTCACCTACAGTAGAATGGAGTACATCATTCTGCATTAGCCAAGCGATTACAATTTTTGGACGGATAAATGTCAATATGTTATTATTCACATGGAGCCTTTGAAAAGACTTATAGTACATCATTACTTTAAAACCAAAAAAATATCCTTTTTCATAAAATTTTATTTTATAAAATTAGATTTAAGAATATCGTGTCATTATATTTTATTCAGGAATGAACAATATCCATTAAATAGTACTTCAATAAAACTTTAAGTGAATTTAAAAATAGTACTTCATTATTTAAGAATGAATATATCCAAAATTTGAGTCATAGATAACTTCTTGTTTTAAGAAATTGAAGTGTTTATCATGTTATTTTTTGAAATATTTACTTTAATATTTAATTCTGTAAAAATTATGTATTGTTTTATACTGTTGTTTTGCTTGAAATAAAATTAAATTTTTTTTACAAGTTAATTTAAAGATTAAAAATAAAAATTTTATAATCACGAGAGTTTATTATTTAAAAAATATAAATATTTACTAAGATACACTCCTTCACAATTTATCATGTTTATGTTTTAAAATTAAAATTAACTAAAAATGGTAAGTGAATTACACTTTCTATAACTGCAATAATTTTAGTTTTACTTATTTTTTAGATTTTTTGTGAGTATTTATATTTTTATTTATAAAAATTATTTTATTTTATTATTTTTTAAAAATTTAAAGTTACTTTTAAGATACTTATCACTTAAATTTATTATTATTATTATTATTATATATTAATTATTAATATTTAATTAATTTTTTACGCTATACGATAAAGATATTTTAAAATAAATCGTATTTAAAATTATTTAATATAGTTAAATATTTATCATTTTGATATATAATATCTGTAGTTATAAAGTTAATTCTAAATAATTTTTGTATAATATTATTAAAAAAATTATTATATATATTTATTTTAAAATAAAATACTAATATATTGTAAGTGCTACTAAATTAGTATTTATAATTTTAAGAATTAAAATGAGATTTATTTAAATTGTGATTTCGTAAAATTAAACTATACATTAACATATAGCCCCAACTCCTGAGGGGTTTCTTCCGAATTTTCATAATTTCAACTTCATTACTGCATATGTTAAAGACAGATTCTCATATCCATTGATGTAACTTTCACCCCTTTGTCCATTGTGTTATACTAATCACTATATCACTTTCATTCTCTTACAAAAATCACATACCGCGGGAATAACTTTGGTTCCATATTCCACTTGATGAAGAAACACCTATTATACATCATAGAATAACATCACTTTCACATGGTAGCAAAGGTAGGAACTGTTGAATTAATACTTGTTTTGAAAGTAGTTCATCTCACCAAGTTTTCATTAACAATAAAAAAATGGACAGAGAAACTACCTAGACATTAAGCAACATATTGATCAAGTCACAAAAGAAAAGTAGCAAGAGAATGTCAAATATAGTCACGTAGGACATAGCCAACAAGATAAACAAAACCAAAAATGAACATGAAAATCTTTGTTCCAACCTGGAATAAGCATCAATTGCCAAAGTGGTCCATCAGGTGGCCCAGTCACCCCCCAGTGATGTTGCTACATGTGTACTCGTGATTGCAAGCAAATTATTCCTTCAATTAAACAAAGCAATAGCAATATATTGACTAAGAAACAATTGATTCGAGTGAGTAATTTTAATTATGAAAATAGAACCATGTGGTTGCTTGGCTCCACCAGCAACAGCAAGAGTCACCAAAGCACAGCCACGCGAATCTATTCTTTGGATCCTTAATCAAATATTTTAATGGATTAATTAGTGAGAATGAATTATTAATGTAAAGTAGTTTGATGGACATAAGTGGCATCTTAGTTGGACATAATAGACTCTTCCCTTACTCAAGAGTTCAATTTGGATTTAATTAATTCACTGTGTCATTTTCAAATATGTCCAACAAACATTCTTTGTTTTGTCTTCTTCAATTTGATGCAATCGACCACCCCAACCCTTTACCTAACCAACCGACCAAGATTGATTTCCATGCACATTCTCTCTTCAAAGTTCGTATCATACTTTCAAAATGGTCAAGTTTTAATTAATTGTTTTTAACTGTGATTCCACACCCTAATCGTGCCTTTAATTATATATTTGCATGTGCCTTTTGTGGTCCTCAACTCTTAATCCTTGGCGCCCAACTTGGAGAAATTATGGTGTGATTATTTCTTCCTCTTCAATTCATTGATTGCTATTTAATTCATGCTTATAATTTTATTTTATTTTTGAGCCATATGTTTTATAATCATGCCTTAGTTTACTTAATTAAAGTGATTTCGGAATGCAAAAGCATTCTCCATTGGATGAATAGGATCAAATTGACAAACTTAATTAATGAGAAAGTGTGTCAAACACTTCCATTTCTAATTAGGATCAAGGAGGAGTTCTAGCTGCTATTTATGGGTAAGGACTGCTTTCAATAGTAAATAATTTTATTTAGGAAAAAACAATGGAAATAAATGCCGGTCATAATAATAGACAATTAATGGACCAAATTATTTAGTTGGACCAACATAAAATGTTGCCTAATAATAAACATTATATTATAAAAAATCAAATAACATGTTGCTAACAATATTCACAGAGGTAAACAAAGAATCAATTGAAATATACCATTTATATTTATCACAAATTAATTTTTTATATATATAAAGAGAAAAAAATTTTTACATTAGTGTAAATCTAAAAATTCTTATACTCAATCTGAACCTATCATTTAACTTATATTTAATGAGTTATAATTTATTACTTCACTAACCATTAGATATAAGTTAAATGAAACACTCAAAATTAAATATAAAATCTGTCTCATATATATATATATATATATATATATAAAACCTTGAAATCCACATTCTGATGCATTCCTGTCATATTGTGAAATTCAAATGCGTCTATGTGACACTTTGGTTATTCTTTGACTAAAACTGCGGGCTGCTATTGATCCAATGTACCTGAATTGTGTTCAGACGTTCAAAATTGACAACAACTGCTCATTTTAAAAGTCTATATTCTATTGTTTACAATATTTTAAACCAGATATATACACACAGATCTACATACGTCTATGCATATGTTTACTTTATTTTTTATGGACATTCCAATGAAAAATTAGATGTATTAATTTTCTGAATTATATTAAATTTAATTTACAGTGATGCAGCATTGCAGCCCTCTCAATTAGATGTTTTTAATATGCAATATGCAATTTAAAATAACTAATTAAAGGATTTTATTTTTAATGTAAAAAAATATTAACAGCATATTTTCTAACATTTTTGTGACACTCGTTAAAATTCGCTGAAATTTATGAAATCATACAAGCCATATTTTAATTAATGAGTTTTATTCATAATTTTATAGATAAATACTAATATTTAAAAAAACTACATCATTTAACATATTTTAAGTAATTAACAATATTTAATATTGAAATATATTGAATGCTAACCAGTAATCATTTTGAGACATTTGTTAGTAAGATTCAGTTTATATATAAGTCTTGATAAATGTTAACCAATGATAACAATGAGTAATAATACATCTTACTAATAATTTTAAAAATTCATTATGAAATATTAAAAAATAAATAAGAAAAGTATTAGTAAGATAATGTAAAATCAAATATTCACAATAAATAACTCATTAGAAAGTATATAATCAGTATTTCTCAAAGTAGAATCTCCCACTTCCTGTTTTGAAATCAATTAAGGTTGGAGTTATTTGACTGGGAGTAGTTGGGAATCTTGTGATGTCTCTGACCATCAAAATCTGTTCTGGTAGTTGTCCTTCACACATTCAAATAATTGCTGCAACTTCAATTATCCTATCTCTAACATCCAAACAAGTCCTACATGCTGCATGGAGCTAAATCTATGTTGAGTAATTAGCAACGAATTATAAGAGAGGCACAACCCCACAAAACAGGTCTTGTTTTAATTTATGCACTCTAGCCAACATATTATATATGGGTTCACAAAGCAACACCCACATAGAGATATGCACATTCCGTAGACATGAAACTTAACACGTGCATGCAACACATAGACATCTCCAACTTGCTACATGTAATCACATGACATGAGATCACAAATTGCAATCACCACTATCTCTATTCTTTGCCCCTTCTGTCCCACTACCCACCATGCGTCTGCCAACTGTTTTTAACCTCACTAAGCATCTTTGGCCCCACAGTTACTGCCTCACCCTTTCCCCTAATCGCAATTCATTAGAGAAACAAATTTAGCCAATGGACCGTAGTGTACTTCCCTTCTTTTTCTTTTCCCAACTTTGCATTTCCCTTGCTGCCCAAGTCTTTCTAATTGTATTATTATTGTTGTTAAAACATTGTTGAACGTTTCTTTTTATAAAATTAAAGATCACAAAGTGTCTTCAAGTAAAAAAGATACAAGTCCTTGACCCAAAACTATACACATAATGAGGTTTGAATACATGAAATATACAATTAATGATATATGAAAGACGATGAAAGGTTTATAAATTGAAATTATTATTATTATACTGACCACAAATAACATGATGGACATCTACGTCCATTTTACAACTAAAACACACAGAGCGCACTACGAACGGCCTAAAATGTTCCACGCGTCAACCACCCACCTTCACCTTAGGGGTTAAGTATTTTTTCTCTTTCCAATTCTATAATACTAGTGAGTGAGGAGAGAAAACTGAACTCGTAGGTTGTTACAAAAGTCTGCACTAAAATTTATAGGATTGCCTCGTCTGCTATTACAACCCCACAAACAGTAATCAAACCCTTCACCACACACAACCTTCAAGTAATTTCCGCTGTTCTTCTTGTTTATAACTATTGGTCCTTTTTTTTCACAGATAGATAATATCATAAATAGGCATTAGATATAGACATCAAATAAAAGACATGCTCACTTCTTCTCCACTTCACAGCCATTTCCTTCCAATAAACCCCTCCAAGTCACCAATTTCCTTAGACTTGCACACCAACAATATTATCCTCTTGTTATCCTTCAGATTGATTTCTCTTCTAGCACCTAGATCAAAGGGCTAAAATTTGCTGCTTTTTTTTTTCTTTGTTCATCGTTTGATCTTATATATTGCTTTTCTGGTTATTAGAGCTTTTATCAAGGGGTGAATTTAAGATATGGGTTTGAGTTCTAAGCAGGTTTCAAGCAGTGGACTTGATTGGAAACAAACCTTATTGGAAGCTCAAAACTTGGAGCTTCCAAAGCCTCATCTGATGAGGAAACAACAGCAACAAACTCAGCAATCAGAGTCTTTGAAGTGCCCAAGATGTGACTCTACAAACACCAAATTTTGTTACTACAACAACTACAACAAATCTCAGCCTCGCCATTTCTGCAGGGCTTGCAAGAGGCACTGGACTAAAGGTGGAACTCTACGAAATGTTCCAGTTGGTGGTGGCAGGAAGAATAAGAGGGTCAAAAAATCAATCACCCCAACATCAACATCTTCCACCACCGCAACACCAACCACAACCTCTACTTGCACCACCACCTCAATTGGCAACATGGATGGTATCTTGAATACCCAAATAACAATTCAAACTCCTCTATCACTGAGTGATCACAAAAGCATGCCTTCCTCTCTCTACCAAGCTCTAATTCGTCCACGACCTTTGCTGCTACAACAGAATCCGATGAACACCAGAGACTTACAAAGCAAAGAGTTTGGTATTGGTAATGCTAATAATGGTAATGGTAATGGCATCTTTCTGAGCTCAACTTTGCCTCTAATTCCTCCTCAAATCCAAAGCCTACCCTTCCCTATCTCAACCACAATCTCCTCTTTTGACACAAACCCTTGTTCAGTGTCAACATCTCTGACATCCTCCAATGTTTATAACTATGGAGAAGTGTTCAAAACAATGGAGGAACCAACCATGAACAGCATAATGCCTAGCACTGGCTGCACTAACACACATCCATGGGAGATACCAGCAACAAGTGGTGGCATGGGAACTTCAAACTATTGGAATTGGGAGGACATTGATTCGTTGGTCTCAACTGATCTAAAAGATCCCTGGGATGATTCTGATATCAAACCTTGAGATCCAAAAGAAAAGAAAAAAGCAACATATATATGGTAGTGTTGTCCATAGATTAGTTTATTTAATTTAATTGGGTTGTTTTGTGTTTCATACAGGTTATTAGTAAGTGTTCTTGTTTAAATCTGTGCTGCTATTTTCTGCACCTGTTAATTCTTACAAAGAGCAGTTTTTGGAGCTGTCATGTTTTAGTTTCAGCTTCAGCTTCAAGCAACCGGTCTCAAATTTCTAATTAGCTGTAACCTCTCTGTTTGCCTCTTTGTTCATTTCTCTATCATTTCCTCTAATCTCTAATAAAATGGTGTATTAATGTATGCATAGTAGTCTAGAGTTATTTATCAATATAGGATTTTGTGAGTGCTTTGTGATGTGGGTGATTATAAATATGGGGTATGCTAGCTATAGCACTGTTGAACTGACAGAATGTGATGGAAGATTCTTTGGATATGTATATATGTTGGAATGATATTATCATACAAATGTCATTGCTTGTGATTCATCACCACCACCACTCCTGAGAATCATTCTTTAATCTTGAGACTGAAAGAATTTTGGTTGCACAGTTGTTTATTATATTATTCTATTCCCTCTGGATCATTTCTATGGGGACTTTTATTTTAGTTCACATGGTGTTTTCATCTTTGTTCCAATGTAATAGAATAGTCAATAGTGTACGGTATCTGGGGCCACCATATTTTCAAGGCTTGTTTCTGATTGTCGTTTCTTCTATTATTAAAGAGATGTGGAACAATGGTAGACCCCTTTTATACAGGATATTCTGACGGTTTTGAAATGTCACTGGAACAAGATTAACACATTAAAATTGGTTTCTTAAATTATAATTATAAACATTAAGCAATAAAAAAATATTTTTTATTTTTAAAAGTAATAAATGTAGATCATTCTAGTCTTTATTATTGTAGTTTTAAAGACTAAAATAATCATCATTTTATAACTTTTTAAATTAAAATTACTGTTTGATAAGGATTAATTGACAACATAAATAGTGATATCAAGTTTTTATTTTTGGACAGACAACTGCATAAATTTCTTAGAAGAAAGAATTTTGTCTTAAATTAAGTTATGTATTTAAACTAATCTTAAATTGATTAATGTTCATAGTTTTAAAGATTAATCTGATATATTTCTCATCAAATTGAGGTCTAACTTGGTAAATCAGGAGCGATAAATAAAAAAACAGTTGATTAATGGGATCCTTACATTTGAATAATCTGATTAATTGGTAAACAGTGGCAGCTTTGTACTTTATGCATGTGAAGAATGAAGCCTACCTTAACCATCTGCTTAATCATCCTGATGAGACACGCATGCGTTTTCTTATATATTATGACTATGACTTTGAAAATATTGAGTCACCTTGCAAGTTGGGGCAGTAAACGACAGCACAACAGCCAATCTTTCTCTTTGGGATTATGTAGTACCTAAAACGTTACTAGCACTGGTAGTGGTGGAGTCACAAATAAATGAAAAAATTAACCTTAATGTAATTGTACAAAAAACACTTTTGAAATTATTGATTAACACTCTATGTTCCATTTCAATTATTTACTTTTGTAAAAGAAGTTTAGAACTCTAGATTTTACACCTATCTCATATATAATGCATGCATTTCTATGTTTTTTTACCTAATTAAAAGTTGTATAAAGAAATACATAAAATTCTTTTAATTACATTTTCTTTTTTACCCTTAATTGCAGTATAGAATTTTTTTTTAAAATTAAAATTCTTGAAATGTGTTGAGTTAATATTGATTAAATTAACTATTTGACCTAAAATATTATCAAATTTCTTAAACTGCTCCCATAATTATTAGAATCACAGCCAACCACAATGCAAACGTAAATTTGTATTGAACAAAGTAAAAGATTTAGGACCACTCAAATTCAGCAACCATGTGTGAAAAAGTGAATGTTACTATTTTTTAATGACTGAAGTTTGGAGAATACAACAAAGAAGCTTCTACTTTATTCCTTGGGATTATAAGTATTTGACTTCATAAACTTTCATTTTAATTTTTTTTATTTTGTAAAATGCTACAAAATAATATTTGCATTAGTCCTTAATACTAAGTAATACATAACACAGTTCATAATTTATATCTATATATTAAATTTGAGTCGTCATTCTTAAAAGAAAATCGTTTTTAGAAAATAAAATAAAAATAAAAATTATTCTCTTCTTCATTATAATAGGTGATTTTTTAATACTAAGTATTTAATTATTTTGCTAAATTCCTATTCTTCTTTTAAAAATAAATTATTTTAACTTTAAATTTAATTGGATTCAAATTTTAAATCTTGATACACAGTATCAAACTAAGGTTATATTTAAAAAAAAAATAAAACTTAAGATTTTTGTAATTTAATCAATCTTAATTTGGACTTTGAATTTTTTTTATAATTTAGAAAACTTTACCACTTAATTTGGTTGTGTAATATAATGAAATATAAATGATTGATAACGAAATGTTTACTCTTTATCAATTGTATAATTTATTAATTTAAAAAAATATACAATATACGCTTAATTTTTCATTCAATAAATTATTTTATTCTAATAATACTTATGTAGTATAAAAAAAGTTGCTAGTTAAAGTGAAACACGTTTATAATCTTGCGAACTGAAAGTACATATTTTAAAAAGATTACTTTTAAGAAAATAATTACGCATTTTTCAAAATTCTGTTGAAAATTTGATAAAAATAAGTGATTGTTTATGTGAATTAAGTTAATCAAATACATTAAAATGAAAGTTGATTGATAAATAAGTTCCTTCAAGTTAAAATTACATGTAATTCAAGAATGAGTCTTGGTTAACACAATTATATAATAATCTACAAGAAGATAATATATGGTGTGATCTTAAAAACAAAACAAATTAAAAAAGTTACATTTAATTGCAAGAAGATAAATATTTGACTAGGGGAGGCAGTGGCACCAAATGACTAGCAGGTCCTCTAAAGGTCTTAGTGGAAAGCTCTGTGAGGACCCAATTGCTGACTACAATGTTGAATTAAAACCAATCAATGCTGCAATAGCAACCTACATAATCACCGGGGCTCATATAAAGATTCCACCATTTTGGAAACATATTATTGCTATCTATCACCATTGACTCTTCTCTCATCCTAGCAGCCAAAGTAAGGGAAAAAAAATGCTCTTAAAAGCTTATTATATTATTGGATAATCTCATGTTCTTCAATAATACAATATTATTGTATTCAAAGAAAACAATACTAAAAACATGTAAACAATATTTTATACAATTAATCATGATAGTTTTTTGTAATAGTACCATCCTATTATTATAGTATAAGATCTAAATCAAATAACATGGAAAGTCTATATATTAACGTCACTCTCCACTTAATTGTATACACAGCAATTAATATATAGTAGGCTCTATCATAGAGAAGGGGACAGGTTGGTGACTCTATTATCCCTTTGGCACTCAACACTATAGTCCGTAACTACTGCAAGGCACTTGTTACTTGTAAGAGGTGATACCAGTTTTTTTTTATGCTTTTTATGTTAATTTTGTGGTAAACATTTACTTTAATCTCTTATTGTATACGTAACATTAGTCAAGTGCTTAATTTTAATTTAATCTCCTCGATTGTCATAAAATAACATTAACTTGACTCTTAATTAGAAGCTTCGTTTCCTAGTGCTCTCATGGGACATAAATGCCACTTTTATGGATAAAAACTATAAACTAAAACTAGACAGGGGATGTGCAGTTATTTAAAAAAGAACTCTAGCAAAATTGTTTAAGGATGATTGAGATATTAAAAAGTAAAATTTGCATAGAGATGATTATTTGTTTTATGTGAAATTTATTGTTAGAATAATTCTACTTAAATTTTTGAAGTATATTTAGATGCATTGAGAATAAAAAAATATTAAATGTTAAAAAAAAGAACTATTTTTTGATTCTCAACAAGGCTTAAAGCCCAACAAAGAAAGTACACAAGGTTAACCAATCTAGAAAACAGGTCCCATGATATATACAGAAGAGGTGGGACAAGAACTGAAAACAAGCATGTCAGAACTAACATTATGATCCAAACTAAGTGATTATCACAGAAATTCCCTCCTCTTGAGGAATGTAGAAGAGTAATATTACCAGAGGGCCTATTGATTCTTGGATATTTTTCATGAAAGCTGCACAATGATGGGTATCAACGCAATGATTCTGAACATGATCAAGAGTTATCTTATAGTTGGGTTCCATTATGAAGGATCCAGCACTGATATCTTGGATAATTGAATTCCGTACGAGATTGCCCATAATTCTGCCTGAACTCACGAGCAAACACTAACGCTAATGTCATTGAAAAAATACGTTAAAATAGTTAAATGATAAGATTAATGGAAAAAGTACAATAATCAAATTACTTATATTTTTAGCAAAATAATTTTTTTATTTTGAGTGTTGACAAAAGATCAATTAAAAAAGCCAATTTCAAAGGGAACAGAAAGATTAATAAATGTTTATTAGAGAATAGGTATACTCTAGTATAGAAATGAAATTGTTTTAATTATTACTAATAGGACCACTAATAGCCTGTTTGATAAACTATTGAAATTGATTTTGGCTGCATCCATTTTTTTTTCCACTTCCGTTCAATGCCATAAATATTTTTCTATACGAGATAGTTGTATTTAAATCGATAACATTCATAATATGATAAAACTATTTAAAAGAAGTAAAGCAGCATGCAGTATTTAAATAAATTATTCTATAGTTATCTGTCATTGTCGTTTGAAACATCAATAAAACTACTTAAATTTAACAATTGTTTAGTGTCACTGAGATTCATTAAATATTAACAAGACTCACGTCGTCTTATAGGTTCTGACTAATTTTAACTAATAATACAAAAAATATTAAAGAACATATCATTATCATATATATATATATATACACACACACAAACTTTCTTCTCATGGATGAAACAAATAATGTGTATAGTTTGATAAAATTTTTAGAAGTCATGTAATTAAATTTCAAATCAAAATGAGAATTAGTACACCATATAACCTACAATTAATAAGGTTCCTTGTATTTTACCTTGAATGATATTAGGCGTATTTATACTTTTAATTACCGCACTTTAACTTATATATTCTTTTTATCTTCCTAGTTTAATTTCTCAGTTGTTTAAATTAAGTCTTATTTAATATATATTTATATGAATTCACAGTAAAATACATTTTGTATATTTAAATATTTTATATTTCTTAGTTGATTTATAGCCTTAATTATATTTTTTATCAATTATTAGATAAACTTTTAATGGAACATAATTTAAATAATCGATAAAAACAAAATACGAACAATTTAAACTAAAGACATTAAAATCATGTACAGGCAAAATTACAAGAATGGAAAGTACAACTAAACCTGAATATTGCTTACAACGTTAGAAGACTAAATACCATTAAAAGATATTGGGTGTACAAGTATGACCCGGCACTAGCTATGGTGATAAGATTGAAGGGTCAAAAGGAAAGGGAGTAGTTAAACATGGAGAAATGATCATCCAAGCTTCATAATTTACAAGTAGGCTTTCACATCGAGAGTAGCCAACTTAGCACACATTTTCCCCACACTACAAATTGCCCATTCTCACACCAGTGTCCCGAGCAAAGGGAGGGGGACCATTATTAGCTTTTGAAAAACTAACATAATAGAGCTCTGAGGCTATGCCTGTGAAAACAATGAAGGCAGCTCCAGCTCCAAACACTCCTTTCCTCAAAGTTTGACATGAAGGGGCTCTCTCTCCCATCAGATCACGATACTTGGTGTGATATGCATTCCTCACAGAACCCGCTAGCAGGCAGGAAGCAGCAATAATAAATGCCACCCTGGATCATCAGTATAACAAACATTGCACGTTTAAGATTTGGAAACATGGGAAAACAGCATTTTTGGTCTTTTAACCTTTGAGCTTGTTTGGTTTCACCAGACACTTCAAGAAATGTTTTCTCATCTATTTTCCTTTTTCACTTTTCACTAATAATAACAATATTATCAAACCTTATTTTTATGATTTTTACTGTTTTCGAATATTTGTGCAAGAAATGGTAAGATCAACATCGTTATAAGGTGACTGAGTGAAAATCTTTGAGAAGAAAGTGAAAATACAGTGATGTTTTAATAATTATAAGTGAAGACAGAAGATAAAAAACAGAATTAACATTTCCTTAAAGACTTAAACTAAAGAAACTCAATGTTTCTGTGACTGTGACCGAGTGAAATCAACAAAAGAACAACGTAAAGCAAACTGATCATTTAAAATGAACACATACCAGCTTGTCATGAATAAGCAAATTGCCCATGATCTGGATCCACTGGGTCTCATAGCTTTCCCACAGCACAGGCATCTAGTTACAACCATTATGATCACTTGACTGGCAACTAGGATAAAGAAGGACCCCACACCTAGGCCGGTTGCAATGTCAGAGTCATATTGACAGTACTTTCTACCTGCACTGTCTTGGGCTAATGTGGCCTGTCAGAAGATCAAATAATTATACTTTAGTAACCCAACCCATTTCAACACTGCAAAAACTTGTTTTGAGTTGACAATTCCTGGCTTTTCTCCTGTCACAACTTCACCCCCTACTATGCAAGGAAACAATACAACATATCCATCGGGAAAATGTCAAACTAGTAGCCAACAGTGTACTGTACTATGAATAAACTGATCTAGAACACGTTTTATGGATCTATCTTCCCAGCTAAAGGCAAAACAGTTGTTGTGCGCAATAACATAATTTTAATACACTAACCGTTTCCCTGAACTCAAAAATAAAGCAACTTGGAATTGCTGAATGCATTGCAACTAATGTACTAAAATGCATATTTCCATTAGCTTTTCCCCCTATTTGACAGTGTTGTCAGACAGCAATCATAAAGTTTCTGCTTTCCATTTTCTAAAGGTACAATTCAGGATATTTCTAAGAGTACTTCTGGTATGCTCCCTAAATAGTTAATAACATTATCTTTTGCAGGTAAAAAAAAGTAGAATTCAGGATTTAATCATGTGGGGATAGTTCTAAAATGGCCACAGTGGTCAAGGATGGTCAGCAACCATCACTGCTGGCTGGAAATTGTCGCCAGAGAAGGGTGAGTGTTCATGAGATAGAATGTGCACAATTAGGATTTGTCAGGCCCAAAGATGCGTAGGGTGAGCAGCTGCTGGACTTGGGCCTAGCCAAGCCCAAGTTATGGCATGTTTAATCTAGAAGGAAGAAATCTTCTCCAACTGCCAACTTGGCAGACCGTTGGGAAGAGAGAAAAAGTAGTTAGTTAGGAGTATATGGATATTTTAGGAGGGAGGAGATGAGAGAGCGTACACATATATTCTGTGACTTGGTGATTAGGAGGGAGACCTCTGGTTTAGGAGAGTATACCCTGCAAGAATTGTATCTCACTTATACAGTTTCCAATTGATTGATTAATACTTATGCATTTCTCATTCATTCTTACGCTATCTACATTATTGTCTGTGGACTCCTAACATGATTCATGGTTGTGGTGTTTATAGTCACAAAATTACCACCTAAAAACCCCTAGGCTACGCTTTTATAGTTTTAAATTTGGTGTTTTTTGCACCCTATCACAGTAATGTGCTTTCAGGTACTACTGCGGCCATAATGTATGATATTCAAATCTGCAACGCTGTTTGAGTTTGTTAGCAAGAGGAGATGCTTTGCGACAATTATGTGCTATTGACAACTATGATATAACAATAGATAAGATCCTACTTTTCTAGGCATTGATTACTCCTTTCCAGATCAATCTGTTTGTATATATGAAAATATCATATCCTTTCTTATCAAATCTAGGAATATCTTAGATTATCCTTCAGATTAGTTTCCCTATTTTCTCACTATCTCTTAGGATGAATTACCACATTTGTTCATTTTGATGTACTTCTTTAATTAGTTAAGATTATGATTAGTATAAATAAGAGTTAATGTTCTAAATTATGTAAACACATCAATATGGTATCATTCATCTAAATCAATATCAATTATATTACTTCATTATCTATTATCTTTCATACTCTATATCTTAAACCCAATGATTTTAGCGAGGTATTGGAGTTTTACCATTGTTTAAGACCAATATCATTACTAATCAACTGCCAAGCTTTCTTTAATAAGTTATACTTTATGTTCATGATTCTTCCTTCAAATTAACTATTTCTCTTAACATGTCATGTTAACCCTTTGATATCTTCAAGTGTGTTGTTCCTTTTGGGGTGTTCAGCCCTCTTCCAGCTGTGTTCTTCATTCGAACCACCTCTTTCTCATAATTGGCATGTTTTAGACAATTTTCCAACTATCATGTCCTCCTTTCGTTGGTTAGAAGAGTATCCCTGGCACATTTTTCAATCTTACCACCCTAACAAATTTCTTCCACCGTTATGACATATTCAGCATGTCCTAGCACTCATGTTTCTCTCCGGGATTCCTGTCTCCTCCTCCATGCATTTTTTTAACATGTTTTAGATAGTTTATAACCAACATTTTTTAAACTATCTCAAATTATATTGTTTGATATTCTTCTTCCTAAAAGGGTATATTACTATATTTGTAACAAGCAACTTGTACTAGAGGGAAAGTATTAGAATATATGAAAATACCGCTTCCTATCTTATCATATCTTAGAATTTCTTAAATTATCCTTTAGGAGTAACTTTCCTGTTTACTTATTATCTCTTATGATTGATTGCCACATTTTTATCATGATTTGTTTCACTAATTAGTTAAGTAAGATTATGATTAATATATAAGATTTAGTTTTCTAGTGTTATAAACACATCAATACATTGTAATACGTCTCAACTAATATCAATTTCGTATTTCATTATCTTTTATTCCCTTTCTCCCCCTATACATAAATTACCATGGTTTCAAAACAATCAATGTGAATTACCTGAACCTTGCTGGTTAAGATCTATATTTACCTAAGCTTATTATTATAACTCTCCATGAATGTTAGCTAACTTTCTGATTCCTAACCATTGCGTCAATATAATAGGATATCTCCTTTTCCAGAGTGATGAACAATTCAAATCTCCAATATTCAAGCCTAATTTTTTTCTTGGACTGCCTAACTCTTGCTTCTGATTATAAGTCAACCTACAAACTTTTCAGTTTCTAAACATTTGAAATTGCATTTTTTTAACAAAACCGATGTCTTTCTTCAACAATTACCTTGCCGATTCATTATATGAAAGCGGAACTATAAACTAGGTCTTTCAGACATCAATCCAGGATCCAATTAGCAGCAATAGTGATTCAACACCCAGCAAGCAAGTTTAGGCAATATATGGTGACGAATTTCTACTGTAGAGGAAATGCTAGCATTCTGAATTATGAAAAAAGCTGCATTCCTATCAATATGTTTTGGAGAAAAGAGTGATTAACTGTTTACTGTCTAGACAAACGTAAATGAATTATCATAGAGAGAGAGAGAGAGAGGTATACAAGAATTTGTTGATAAAAACTGATTTAATTTTAATACCTTAACAATCTACACCTTTAAATGTATTTTAGGAAAATTGGTATTAACACATCCATTTATTTCTAAAGAAAAAAAATTTGTTGGCAAGCTACACTTTTAAGTGTTCTTTAAAAAAATAAAAACAAAGTTATAACATGCAATGAGTGTGTGTGTGTGTATATATGGATCAAGTTATTTCAAAAGTAATTTTTGTCAAAATTTACTTTACTTAATAATTTCTTATAAATATTAAATTTTATCAATCTAATGGTTGAATTGAAAGTTTTTATTGAGTAAATCAAATTTATAAAAAATATTAAAAATTTAAAACTAATTCTTTGGTCATATATACATACATAAATATATATATAAAATCAAATGACACAAGGTGTAAAATTTTATAAAATGATATTTCTAATAAATTTTTATCAAAAACAAATTTTAACAGTCAATCGGATAAATTTAATGTTCTCATAAAATATATCAAATCTATGAAATTTCACACAATTAAAAAAATCGATTGATTTCTTTATATAATTTAACTATATTTTAGTGTATAATATACTATTTAGAATATAAGTAAATAGCTATTATTTAATTACATATCTATGAATATATGAATTGTGTAAATTTTTATATACATAATTACTATAATAACACAATTCAATGGCTAAATTTATAAAACTTATGTGTAGTACAACGTTATTCAATATGTTATTGTACTAAGTTTGATACTTGTATCATTTGGTCGTGCTGAGAGAGAGAGAGTTTCAAATTTGTACGAGGAAGTATTGAACAACTCTTGCAACTAAGGAACGGACTTAACAGCAATGAAAAACTGATCTTTCAATAAATAAAAAAATCATTATCAACCTCTACGAAAATGATTCACAAACACTAATTAATCCCAAAAAAAAAATTTCAATTGAATATCATAATCGCTCTTTGTTTTCCTCTTCAGATGGCATGTAACAGAAACAAAAAGCATAACTACACCAACTAAATCCAGATAAGATACTACCAAAAACCAAAAGATCATAGCAAAAGCAGAGTCTAACCAAAATAGGCAAAGAAAGAGAAGAAGATAGTGACTCACAGTGTTCCTCCTCTGCTCTGCAGCAACAGCGAGACCAAAAGCAATCAGATCAAACACAAACACCACCACCAGTAACACAGACGAAGCCATACCTCAACACCCACCAGTTAAATCTCAGTATCTATCCACAAAAAGAAACCCCAAAATAGGATTAAAGACAAAAGTGGAAAAAAAAAATAGCATCAAGCTTTTGAGATTAGAAGAAATAAAAAAGAATAATAAGTAGAAAAATAAAAGCAGAAGCAGCAATGGAAACGTAGGAGGAGACTTGGTTTTTAAGATGAGAGTGATTTTCCCCTGTTGGGTAGCGTAAGGAAGCAAAGCAAATAAAGTATGTAACTTTTGGCCGCATTTGCAAGCTTTCTGGCACACTTATTTAAGTATTTTGTATATAATACCCAAATACGCAATCGAATAATAAAATGCATTGCTAACTTTGGGGGTTGTGGCTTGATGCCAAGGTGGTGGGGTTTGCGCTGTCAACATTTTGTTTGAAGCTGTGAGGGTCTATGACACGGTGCGATGCGAATGCGTGATCATGTCCCCTTGTAAGAGCATGATGCATCCTTTGGCTCTCTCTTTTTTGTTAATATAGACATTGACTAATGGAAATAAGCAACAGACACTTGGCATTTTTATTTAGTTTCAGCTCAAAAGCAAGTTTCATTAATATTTAATCTACTTTCCCACCCATCTACCTCAATACTTGGGCCTTGAAATATAGAAAAGAAAAAAATTGAAATTGTGTAATTTTTTATTTTTTATTTTAGTTTTTACTCACTTAAATAAAAGTATAGATTTTTACTCATTTATTTTATTTTATTTTAATTTCAACCAGAACGGTAATGTTTAAACATGAGTGAGAATTGAGCTTAAAAAGTACACGTATACTTTCATTTCTTGTATATGCGCATTTAAATTGATGTGCACCGTGACGCAATAATCGCTGATGTTACAATCAAGTGACTATAATTTGTACATTGTTTTTTTATTGTTGGCCTCTTTGATGGAACTTGCTTGGTGATTATAAAAATGGAGGAATCGTGAAATTTCTGGGGACAGTTGAGAACACAAATCACAAAATTTCCGTGAAGATAAGGATCCAAGCAAGTCAAACCTAAAGGGAAAGTGAATGCATAACACATGCCTTCAGAAGACTTAATTAGACTAATTGAAGTCAATTTCAAATCAAATAGCAAAGATATATGCCACCCAGTTATAGACAAGCACAAGTCGCCCTAATCATTTCATCCGTAGTCCATTCATGTTTCACATAAATTATTGGTTTTTCTTTCGTTTGGAATTGGGTATCTGCAAAATGAGAAATTAAAGAATTATGTATCTTTATTCTTTATTTCACTAACCCAAGAGTGATCAATTTCTCATTTTCTTTTCATATAAATTTTACCGGAGAGATTCATCTGAATCATTAAAAATATTATTATAATGCATAAATATATTTTGCATCATAGTGATAAAAGTCAGACTATTGACCCATATTCTCAAAGATATTAATACATGATGTTACCATAATTAATGATATTTTGAAAAAATAAATAAAAACTATGTCAATTTTTTTATATAAAATTTGGACTTTTTTTTTTTTTTTTACAAAAATGTAATGATGTTTTATTTGGAATGATTGTAATTTTATTTAGAAAATAAATAAATAATTATACTTTTAATTTAAGTTGTGAAATGAAGGTTTGATATAAATGAATGTGAGTAAAACATTAACATGCTCCATAAAATTTATATGATTAATCAATTTAGTTTTTTAACTATAAATAAAAAATTAATCTTTATTTTTTAATAATTCCATCAAGTTATAAAATTAACATGATAAACAAATTATAAGGAACCACCTCTACTAATAACAATAATATTAACAATAAGAGTAGAGCAACAATCAAAACAAAAGACAGAATATAAAATTTAGAAAAGTTAAAATAACTTAAAACTATAATCTAAACATAAACCACTTATTTTATGTGCCATACTATTTACTACTCAAAATATATAAGACCAAATTATTGAGATTTTTTTACTGTAGTTAATTTTGAAAACAAATTTGTGAAATATATTATTTAAAAAATAATTTATTAAAATAAATAAAATTTATTATAAAAGTTAAGTAAAATATCATATAAAAATATGCTACTACAGTATGGCTTTACACGTGTCACATCTTCAAAATATGTCACTCAAAAAATCATGAAATCTAGCACTATTTTTTATTTTCCATGAAGTTTACATTTATGCTTATAAGAATTTTTCCTATTTGAGACAAAAAATTTCTGCAAGCTTTAGAGATTGTGTTGTAGCACTATTTTCTAGTTTAGCTCTTTTATCAAGCTTATCACGCTAAACTTGAGGCATATTTGAGTAGAATAAGCAACTAAATACTTTTAAAAAATTTAGAAAAGATTTAAAACTAAAACAAACTTTAAAAGGAGTTTGATTTGGTATATAAAAATTATGTTTGAATAAACACAATTGTATTTATATCTTCGATTCATAACTTTTTTAATAATTCCTTTTGATGAAGCATACACTTAACTATTTCTATGGTTGATCTATTTCTCCTTACATTCATTCTATTTTTTTTTAAGAGTGTAAGGAGCTGTCAATTAATGTTATATCTCAACTTCGTCACATAATTGTTGAAATTGATTAGCTATATTTTTTTTTCATTGTTCGACCTTAAAGGAATTTATATTGGAATAATTTTATGTTTATAGGGAGAGAACTTTATATAGGAAGCCTCTAATAAACTATTAGTAACAGTAATCGAAAGAAAGCTAACAATACAACTAATTAGTAATAACAGAAAGATAACAAGCTAACATATTAAATTAGCCATTTTCTATTTTATTCCTATTATCTAATACTCCCCCGCAAGCTGAGGAGTAAATATTAATGACTCCCAACTTGGAAACCAAATAAGAGAAGGAGGAAGGCTCAAGAGCTTTAGTCATGATGTCAGCTGTTTGTTCAGAACTAGTGATAGGCAAAAGATGAAATAATTTGGCTTGAAGCTTCTCCCTAACAACATGACAATCAAAGTCAATGTGTTTCGTGCGTTCATGAAAAACAGCATTGGATGCAATATGTCGAGCAGGTTGACTATCACAATACAATAATGCTGGACTAAGGAAGGGAATTTTCATATCCTGCAGAATATATGTCAACCATTGCAGTTCACACACAGTGGAAGCAAGAGCCCTGTACTCAGCTTCAGACGATGATCTGGATGTAGTGGATTGCTTCTTGGATTTCCAGGAAATTAGAGAGTCTCCTAAGAAGATGCAGTAGTCGGTGATGGATCTTCGAGTCTCTGAACAAGTTCCCCAATCTGAATCACTAAATGCTTTAAGCTGTAATGTAGAAGAAGTGGGATAGAATAGGCCTTGTCCTGGTGCTCCTTTGAGATATCTCAGAACTCTTACTGCTGACTTATGATGAAAGTTTGTAGGGGAAGACATGAACTGACTAAGTTGCTGGACAGCAAAATAAATGTTAGGTCTGGTTGTAGTTAAGTAGAGAAGCTTTCCAATGAGTCTCCTATACCCTACAGCATCTTGATAAGGTTCTTCATCAGCTGTTTTGACCTTATGTGGCTTGACCATAGGAGTAGGAGCAGGCTTGGCTGCAAGATAACCAGTGTCAGCAAGGAGATCTAAAACATATTTCCTCTGAGACAGAGTGATGCCAAGATGAGATCTTGCAACCTCTAACCCAAGGAAATATTTTAGGGAACCTAAGTCTTTAATTTTGAATTGAGTGTCTAATTTGTGTTTAACCAATTGAATTTCAGAAGTGTCATTTCCAGCTAAAATTAAGTCATCAACATATACTAAAATAGCAGTAAAATGATCGTTGGTGGATTTAGTAAAAAGAGAGTGATCATGAAAAGATTGATGATAACCAAGGTTGTGTAAATAAGAAGACAGCTTGGCAAACCATTGCCTACTGGCTTGTTTCAAGCCATAGAGAGATTTGTGAAGTTTGCAAACAGAATTAGGAGTAGGAGAAGTGAGACCTTGTGGTATTTCCATGTATATATCTTCATCTAAATCACCATGTAAGAAGGCATTATTTATGTCTAATTGGTGTAAATGTCAGTTTTGGGAAGACGCTATAGCCAAAAGAAGTCTAACTGTTCCTAATTTAGCCACAGGTGCAAAAGTATCAAAGTAGTCTAAGCCTTCTATTTGCGTGTAGCCTTTTGCCACTAATCTGGCCTTATGTCTCTCAATGGAACCATCAGACCTATACTTTACTTTATATACCCATTTTGAACTAATAGGAGATTTGCCAGGAGGAAGGGAAACAATGGACCAAGTCTTATTCTCAGCCAAAGCTTGGAGTTCATTTTGCATAGCCTCGATCCACTTTTCATCCTTGACAGCTTGTTGATATGAAGTTGGTTCAGAATGAGTGGAAATAGAGAGAATATAATTGAGATGTTTCTGATTGATGGAACCATAAGAAAGGATAGATTGCAGGGGATATTTGACGTAATTGTTGTTAGCAAAACTAGTAGTGTGAAGACTGCAATGATAATCCGATAGGTAAGCAGGTGAGTTTTGAACTCTAGTGGATCTCCTGACTTGTTGTTCATCAGCATTGACAAGTGGCAGATTCTGAGCAGTAATAGAATCAGGAAAAGAAACATGTGTGGAAGGAATATTAGGATCATCTATTTGGAAATTAAAGGAGGGAGTCTCGGTGAGTTTAACAGTAGTGTCAGAAGTGTGTGGTTTAAAAGGAAAAATGTTCTCATAAAAAATCACATTTCTACTAACAAAAATTTGCCAAGTATTGATATCCATGGCAATGTAACCCTTGGTCCCATTTTTAAATCCAAGAAAAATACACTTTTTGGCCCTAGGATCAAGCTTATTCCTATTTTGAGTTAAGGTGGAAACATAACATAAACTGCCAAAAACTTTTAAATTTAATAAAGTGGGCAATTCATTGTGTAAGATTTGGAAAGGGCATTTACCATGTAGAACAGGAGAAGGAAGTCTGTTGATCAAGTGGACAGCATGCATAACAGCAAAACTCCAGAAAATTTTAGGCATATGAGAATGAAATAACAAAGCTCTTGTAATGTTAAGTATATGTCTATGTTTCCTCTCCACAACAGAATTCTGTTGTGGAGTTTCAACGCAAGATGTTTGATGAATTATTTCATATTTAGAAAAGGTAGGGTGCATGACAAAATCAGCCCCATTATCACTCCTTATACATTTAATTTTCTTACCAAATTAAGTGTAAACAAAATTAATGAATTCATCAATTAAATTTCTAGTTTCAAGTTTGGATTTCATGAGGAAAATCCAGACATGTCTAGAGTAGT